CTGGCCAGCATACGGGACTTGTCAAGCATCCGCTTTTTTCCTGTAATACACCACTGCTCCAAGGATATTGGAAATTCCAACCAAATCCGATAGTAAACGTTCGCACTGACGCCCGCATATGTTGTATAGTGTGTTCAGGTGTATCAGCAGTACCAGGATGAATTATGATTCGGATCTGCGCGTACCCTACAAATACAGCCAGTGCCCTCTAGATGCTGCTCAAAATAGCCGTGCATCCCGTTAAATGTAGTTGAATATGATCGGTGATTAGTGGGCAGAGTTACCCTACCAAGGTAGCGTCTACCTCTGTCGACGTGTTTGGTTGACGAGCAGCGTTGTTTTCCCTTATATATATATATATATATATATCTGCAAAAATTAAAATACAATTGGCTGAGTGACACAAAACATAAGAGGAAAAAAGTAGTTTTAAAGGGAAAACAACTGTTAGGGTAGAAGATTTTCACTGCAAGTGCACCATTGCTTACGGTTCTTGGTCCTATCCTAGAGCGTTTGCAACCAGATGTTCTCGGGGTCCTTTTGTCCCTAACCCAGGAATCGGGAACACCAAACAACTGCAAGCTACAACGTTTGCGCCTTAAGTCATTGGATCCAAGTTTTGCATTCCCCTCCATTTCTTCGCTTCCAAGCCACACCTTTGCTCGCAAATGAGGATCGTCGTGGTAGCCGCTGGGTAGGCATGCGGAGCACATGACTAAGCCAACGAACTTTGCGCAGTGAAATGATGTTATCCGTCGATCGGCGGAGTTTGTTAGATATGAAGACTCGCCGAAGGACTTCCTCTTTACTGATGTGATGCTGCCATCGGACACCAGCAGTGCAGGCAGCAGTGATCGAAGACAGATAGCCACTGAACATCGCTTTTGCGAACGGCCCAATTCCCACAGCCGTAAAACAGAATCGTTCGTACCGTACTATTGTACACTCATCTTTTGAGAGCGAGGTTGAGGACACGACGAAGCTACTGGTGAGAAGGTTAACGAAAGAGACTCTACCCATGAAGGCAAGTAGGGAGATCTCCACAGTCAAATCGCCATTACTAAAATAACTCCGAAGATAAATGAATTTGTCGACCACTTTTAGCAAATGTTCCAAAAGCGTGAGAGAAGGACATGCACTTGGCCCATCCTTACATTCCGAAGGAGCAAAGGTCAACCCAAATTGGGTGACAGACATCTCCAGTCTAAGCAGCACATGCTGGGCGGCTTGGGTGGACTCGCAAATCACAGCGATGTCATCGGCGTACTCTAAGTCCCAAACGCGGTCACCGGGGAGCAATTCAAGATAACAGGACTCAGAGTTTTCCAGTGCAGTATTCAGAATCTCGTCCATGGCGAATTTGAACAAGAACGGAGCGGCTGGGCAACCCTGCCTAATATCGCTAGTGATACTGAAAGGGGCGAAATGTCTCCGTATACTCGAACGCAGCCCGATGTTTGATGGTAAATGGCACGGAGAATGCTGATGTACTCCTCAGGTACTCCCCTCTTCAGTAAGCATTCCAAAAGATCCACTCTGACAACACAGTCAGACGCGGCTGGAACCTCTGAGAATATGTGTATAGTTGGTCGACTGAACGTATCACGCTGTTCACGTACCTGGTGAATCGTAAAGATGTGATCGACGCAACTGCGACCCGGACGAAATCCAGCTTGTCGTTCACACAGATACTGTTCCCGTAGGCAACTGAGCCTCCGCAAGAGTAGAACAGCAAACAGTTTGGATGAGACACAAATGAGACTGGTACTACGATGTTTGTAGCAAATGATCCGGTCTCCCTTTTTGTAAACGGGTACAACATCCGCTAAATTCCAGTCGGATGGAATGGTTTCATTAGTCCAAATCTGCTTGAAGAGAGATGTCAGTTCGTGAGAGCAGGACCTCTATATTTGATGAGAACAGGAGGAAATTCATCTAGACCAGGTGACTTGCGGCGCTTCATTAGGCGTAGCTCATTGGGAAGCTCAGTCTCTGTCGGTGTAAAACCTTCCACGCACCAGGGAGCACTGTGAAACCCGGAAGATAGTCTCGGTTGCACTGGTGGCCAGTTGAACTGATCTTCAAAGTGCTCTGCCCATCGTACCACACGACGGTGACGACTGTGAATTAGTTCACCGCCATTTTCACGCATAGCCTCACTCACTGTTGGTCTTCTGCCTTCCGTGAAACGAATAAGTTGGAAGAGTTTGCGGGAGTTTCTTGATGAGGCTGCCAGCTCCATCTCAACGATGCGTTGTGTCCACCAAGCTTCGCGATCCTTCCTCACGAGCTGTCTGAACTTTACACCTGTGGTTCTGTGTAGTGCGTTGTACAGAAATCCAGCGGGAATCGATCGACGACTTTCCATTATTTGGAGAGACTGTGCAGAGATCCAAGCTTATCTGTGTCAAGCCGTTTCCGGCGACGCTGGTGGGTGCCTCCAAGGCGCAGAATAAACTTAGCACGCACAAGCGCATGCTCCGAAGTCAGGTAAGTGTTCCAAATTGACTTACAGTCCGTTATGCAGCCTTGCCAACGGTAACTAACAACGGTGTGGTTAATTTGCGTCCAAGTATGACCAGGGACCGGAGGTCGCCAGGTGGCTCTTTGGCGCCAGGAACGTCGGAAATTGGTGCTGCAAAGGAACAAGCCGTGCTCGGCGCACAGTTGCGAGAGTCCATCGCCGTTGTCTGTCCTACGAGTACTGTGGCTGTGTTGACCCCTAAGGTCGCGCTCATGAACCTCTGGTCTACTGACCTGCTCATTTAGGTCTCCGGCTAGTATCACGATGTCCGTGCGGCGTTTCTTGCGAAGCTCGGTTAGTTGACCGTAGAACTCGTCTTTAGCTTCGTCCACGCTGCTGTCCTCATGAGCGTACGCCATGACAATGACTATGCTACGCCTGATAGTCCCGTGGCTGGAAGCTCACACTGAGCTATCCAAGCGGACTGCACAAAGATGGCTGTTGATAGGGAACCGGTCAATGAGCGCTGCATCAGTACGCGCTCTAAACGCAACTCCTACGCCGGCGCAGTCAGAGGCTGCAGCTGTCGCATCTCTAGATAAGCGCAAAGTGAATGTATAATCGGAACTTGGGGATGGTGAGTGCAATCGCAGCATTGTGCTGGAGTCTTGTAAACGGGTTTCGGTAAGGCAGCAAACGTCGATTAAGTGGGTTTCCAATGTGTGCGCGAGAGTGTTCAAAAATTGAAAGTAGTTAGCTTGAAGAGCGAGCGAAGTGCCTTGTTTTTGGAATTGGAATGTGTGCGACCGGTTTTGAGCGGATTATTGATGAAGTCAAAGGTACCGTTTTTATGTGCAATACACTTTTAGAGGCTCGATATTGGAGGGGAGTTGCCAAGAACAAGGGGGGGGGGTTGAATAAGCGTGGAACGAAGTACATGGTTCGCGGTGCGGTAGAGTTAGGTTTAACGTGCCCGGCCGCCAGCACCCCGGCCAAATAGAGAGAGTTCAGAGAGCGAGAAACGTAAGTAAATAGTCGTAAATCCATTCTTTCGTGTGTTTTGTGGGCATACAGCTTCCCGATTGCCCAGGCCGAGGAAAGATGTTGACTTAAGGGGACCCACCCAGAACCCTTGGTTAGACGGAACTGACCGGCATGGCAGAGGGGCGAATTCGGGGAATCGTGTCCATTGGGAGCCGCAGACCGAATGCTCGGTTCATGCACCTTTCGTTTGGCTGGTTGCCAAACCGGAGCCCAATACTTCTAATAATTCAGCGTCAAGCTGAAGGATTACAATGCTCCAGCGAGGTGAAGCAATTGGTAGTGTCTTTATTTAGTGGCGAGTCACATCCGCCAAGTCGCATTGTTTTTAGACTGGCATATTTGGCTTGTAATAGGGAGAACACTGACCAAGCGAAAACCCACCAAGTCCTGGAACACTGCCGCCTAACTATTGGTTGAAACGGGTTAAACCCGAACCAACCAACTGACACAACGAGGAGGTAGTTGGACAAGCCACCCTTCCTTACATGCAGAGCTAAGATTTTTTCTTTGGTTCTTACTGGTTTCGAAGATTTGGTCTTCTCCTCAAGCGCAGCTTGTCCTTGTTTGGATCAAATTATTGCAGCCATCCCTAATACTGACCCACGGTAATGGTCCAACAGTCGTTCTGGGTAACAGCACACCGAACCTATTTTTACGGTTGTTATACATTATCATCATCCTTATGCACGTTAGCTGCAGGTGGAAAACACCTCAGCTATTGTGCCGCAATACAAAAGATAAGAAAAGGAAAACAAATAGCGGCACGCTGGCTGAGGCCCCAGTAGCGGATGAACATCGTTCCGGAGAGCTAATAGCTGGCTATCGTGCCGTAAAAAGAGAGTCATTTTATGCCTAACGAGTGAGATCGTGATTGGAGGGGGATACTAAGCAGGAGGGGATGGACAAAGGAACTCACCATACAAACGCCATTGGGGCCGGCTCTTTGCCTTATCAGTAAGTGTGTCCAGGCAAACGTGTTCACCGTCCTTAGGATCCCAGCCAGGCAGTCGTGATGCACCAACCGACGCCAGCTTCTAAGTAAGGGTTTTCATCTCTCTCGATCAAGTCATCGCTTGGCATCGCCTCCTCTTCCAACCGCACCCACAACGCGCAAACAATGCCCGTCGCGGAAGTCAGTGCGCTGGCATGCGCAACACGTGGCCCAACCATCGGAGCCTGGTGCGACGGTTGTTATACTCTCAGGGTGGATGAATGCCTCTCACTTGACAGTCGATCTGTTAGCAAGGCATTACTTAGAAGGCGTGTGCGAATTGTGTACCATCGGCGAGCGCTGAGCATTCCTTGATTGAAGACACATATAGAGTAAACTACGACAAGGTCATACTATTTAGCACGTAAGAGGAAGAGAGGGCTGTCTTACTCTGTCTGTCTGTTCAGAGGGTACATTGGTTAGATATAATGAGATACCACTCCGTTTTCATTATCATTTCATCTCATTAGTCTAACCTGTCTGTTATTCCCAATCTTACAGGTTGCCGGGGAGTTCGCTTTTAGAGAGTTCACTTTAACGCAAACCGCCTCCAGTGAAGCACCTTTCTCTAACGAGTGTCGTCGCGTCGAACAGTTGCAACACACCAGTTGGCCGGATCATGGAACACCCAGCAACATGGTCGAACTCATCGAATTTGTGCAGCGCATTCGAGAGAAGCGGGGCAAATCCACGGCGCCTATCGTGGTGCACTGTTCGGCCGGTATCGGTCGTACTGGTGTCCTCATCGCTATGGAGACCGCAATGAACCTAATGGAACGTGCGCAACCTGTTCGGCCCATAGAATTGGTTCAATTAATGCGGGCTCAACGTGCCTTGCTCATTCAAACAGCGGTTAGTCCATGTTTGGCATTGAACAAATGAAAGGAATGTGTTTATCCCACTGCCACTTGAAGGCAGCCGAACCCAGATAGGGGGTGCAGGTTGTTTAGTGATTACTAATTTATGTATGTTTCTTCTATGTGTTGAAACTAGATAAAAGCTTGTAGTTCCGAAATTTTAGTAGGTGTTTGAACCGGTGGAGAAGTCATGTGTTCATAGAGGTTTGAAAACAACCGATTGTGTGAATTGTATAGATGGGAAGTTTTCAAGTAGGATATCTTATACTAAATTCAACTCTAGTCTAGTCAATACTGCGCTTTTGTGAATCCGTGATGGGTGCATTTTGAGCCGTGTAGTTGCTATCGTTCTACTGGTCATGCAATTGGCGGAAGAACAGCAGCACAAATCCGAAACATCCCGCAGATTCCACTACATGGGAACAACTTAGATAGACATGTGAACGCAATGTCGTCACTAAATCACTGCCTTCGTTCATCACGCATCCGCAATTGCACATGTGCAAAAGACTCGATCGAATTTACTCCGAACCATGGACTATGAAAATTGGGTGCATTTTTTATATTTGCTAGTGGACAGAAAATTCCAAAACTATCCTCCTCATCCTTGGATTAAATCACTAGTAAACGCATAAACGAAAATAAACCGTATATTCTCGTCTTCGCGAGACATGCCTGTTACGACAACTTCAGATAATGAAAGGACTTTCCAATGCAACGAAGACGTATGGTCGGAAGATATACAGTCGTGGCGCAAATCGATTTTTAGTATTGATGGGGCATAAATGTTGGTTGTTGTTTTAGTGTGTTATCTGATGCTGTACAGGATGTCTTTATCGGGATTGATTGGCCTGCCGAGGATATGAATACGAAACATCTGAAAGATGTTTTTGTATGATAAGAAAGCAGGTTTAATGGTGATGTTTAACAAATCGAAAGACGAACCGAGCGTGCAAGCGGGAAATGCTACCCGTCAGCTGGAGACATTTGTAAAGAAATGGAAAAGGATGATTTCATGGCATTTAACATTGGATAGACTTCTTTACCCAGGGTTATCCTAGAACATTCGTGATCGAAAGTCATCGTATAAGCTTGTAACATTGCTCTTTGTAATAACTTAAAGATGACTTATCCTTGATTGAACTTTTATGGGCAGTGGCGAGTTACAGGTTACTAACTAATGACTATGTTGGATATCTCCCACATAAAAGTGAACTAACTAGCGACTAATACGGCACTCTTCTAGGTACCAGCAATGTCTTTGGAAAAAACATTTTGTTGTCCCGTTTTCCATCACACGATAAATTTAGTGTGGAAATTGTGCAAGAGGATAGCTGGTATCATAGAACACTTCCCAGTGATATAAACAGAATTCGTACAACTAAACACTATCGGCTTGTTTTGAATAGCGGGAGAAGCGATAAGCCGCTATTTTTCTACCGTGAGTGTCTATACCTAAAGAACCAGCTTTTGCTTGGTTCCATGACAGTAGAGTAAACATCATTTGTCAGTCTTCATCCGTGCTTCATCCTCGTAACTATGTTATGCTTTGTGATCTTCCAGACACAGTGTCCCTGTATAAGTTTACTGTAGCTTGAGTGCGCTTTCGTTTCCCATTGCCCGGCATTCACTCGGCACAATGATGCTGGGACACTTGCACCTAAACCGCCGATCGATGAAGACAGTGGCGTGGCGGTGCCATCCATCATGCGTAATGCTTAAGGGAAGTCTGCAATTTTCCTGTCAGTTCAGAAGTTTCAGACAGGGCGGAACTGATGGGTTTATTCAATGGTAGCGGGACCTACCTGTTAGCTAGGATTCATCATGATGCGCTCTCCGTTGGGTTCAACACGGGTCTAACTTTAGTGTTTTGCATCGTTCTTAGCATGCTCTTTTCGTGACCAAATTTCCTACAATTTATCTCAACCCATTTCCATAAAATTCGCAGTTTTATATAAGAACGTTGAATAAGGTAACGTAAGCAAAGTGAAAATTTAAATCTGTAAAACTCCGTGGAAATCTGAACAATGAACAATGATTTATAGCGGGTACATAGCAGGTGTTTGACATGTCCCTTTGGGTGTTTAGAGTGAGAAAAGATAGATCAAGGAATAATGGAATCGTCGGTTCGGACGATTACAGATTTAGCTGCACTGCCGTATGACGGATTTGAAATTAGAATGTAAGCACACAAAGCCATAAGGGGAGTGATTATTGATCATATAATAGACGAGAAAAATAATAAAATATAGCAAAGACAACGCTTACCCTTGTGTAACTAACTTGGGTCGACAGGATACAGAAATCCAGTTTCTATAGTAGTAGCGTTTATCGAATTTTGTGCAAGGGTTTGGAATGACTCATTCTCGAGTAGGGTTATGGAAGTATTCCCTGTCTGTAGTACATTAGTGCCAGAATCTGGTAGTCGTGGGCTATAGCACGTAGTGTAGATGTGACAGAGTATCGTCAAGACGTTTTCTGAAAAGGGATAGGGTGGGTGCATCAATAACCTCTTCCGGGAGGGCGTTCCAAGGCTGTGCCACTCGAAGGGAGAAATAGTTTCGCCGACATTCCAGGCGGTTGTACTGCGTGACCAACTTTAACCGATGACCTCTTAGCAGGGTGTTTTGACTGGGTATTAGAAGGGGATGGCATGGGTAGTTTCGGTTTCTCAGGATCTGGTACACCATTATGAGATCGCCCCTTAGACGCCGATAACATCCACTGTATATTTTGAGAGCCTTCAGCCTGAGTGGGTAGAGGAGGCTGGTCGAACCTCTGACGCTCTTCGTTGCCCTACGTTGTGTAGTATCGAGCGCGGTGAGATGGTGCTTGAGCCAGGGTGGCCACGCTTGAATAGCGTATTCCACGTGCCGCCTCACGTACGCACTAAGCATTTTTGGAAAGGCTGAAGGGTCAAACTTCCCGAAAGCTCTGCGAAGAAGGCCGGGGTACTGCTCTGGTTTCTTAGATGTCTTTTCAGTCTGCCTCAAACAACGGAGGTCACTTGAACTATCACGCCGAGATCGCACTCGTGAGAAGCCCGCTGTAGAATTTGTGGTCCTAGGCGGTACTTGTGCATACTGTTGTGCCTTATGCTGAGTACTATGCACTTGGTGACGTTGAAATGCAGCATGTTCTCGATGGACTATGTGTACGCTTTGTCCAGGTCCTCCTGCAACACTGTGTTATCCCTACTGCAGCCATAGTACGCCATATCTTTGGATCTTCAGCCAATAGCAAACAGTTAGAAGATAGTACGCTCGCGGGATCATTTAGGAAAACCAGGAACAGGCGGGGTCCAAGTACCGAGCCTTGAGGTACGCCGCACTGAACTTCGATGGATTCCGATAGGTTGCTTCGAACCCTCACGTTCAGGTGATGTTGAACGAGAAAGTCTCCCATCCAGCCCAGAATAAGATCGCCGATCCCATATTTCTGGAGTTTGTGGAGGAGAATGCGATGGTCTATACGGTCGGAAGCCTTTGAGAAATCCAGGTACGCCGCGTCGACTCCTACACCAGTGTCCACAGATTCCGTCCAGTTTGCACGAGCAATCAAGAGATTAGTTGTACAGGAGCGATTTTGTCGAAATCCATGCTGTTCCGGAACGAGAATTTTGTTGTTCTCCAGGTACCCTATAAAAACCTCAGCTACGATGGACTCCATAACCTTGGAGATCATAGGAAGTAGTGTTATCGGGCGATATTTTGCTGGTTCAGCACGACTGCCACTTTTGTAACTTGGCTTGATGATTCCCTGCTTCCACATCGTGTGGACGTGCATCTCGTTCAGACATCGTTGAAAGAAAAATGCTGGTGGCGCCGCCAAACTCAAGGCAGCAACTTTCAACGCCTTCGGGCGAATGCCGTCCGCACCCGGGGAGCTGAACTCGCGCAGACATCAGCCTCTTCAGCGGAGGTAAACGATGTGATTAAGCCCTGATGGCGGCGTTATCTGCTTAGGCAGGATGTATGATGAATGCACGCTTTGGAAGGTACAGCCAAATTATTGTCCAAGAACGTTGGCCGCCACTTGTGCGGTCTGGGTTAACCCGCATGCTGTGTGCAGAGTAGGAATATCGCGCTTAACACGGCGCAAATTATTTACGTGCCAGTATAGCAGTTTTGGATTGGAGCAAAACTTTTCCACTAGACGTTGTTGGTTCTTCAGTTTATCCTCCCGAACGAGTTTGACACAGTGGTTTCTTTGTATTGTGTAGACCTCCCAGGTATGGTCATTCGGGAGAGGTGTGCCATGCCAAGTCCTTTAATGCCATACATTTACGTGTCCTACTCCTTAGGAAAGACTTCATCCTTTTAGGTCGACAGAGTTTGGTTTCAGATGTCCTTGCCACGAGCTTGTTAAATATGTTAAGGAATTCTCCGCAGGCCACCTCAGCGGTCAATTCGGCTAAGAACGACCAGCTTGTTGCATCAATGAGGTCGGACAGGTCATCATAGCTGGTTACGACATGATATTCCTCGGCATGCTCTTAAGGATAATCCGCGTAGCACATGTAATAAAATACTAGCGTCGCATGTTCACTGCGGCCCAAAGGAATATCAGTTATCACTCTCTCGACCATCAGTTCTTCGTTAATGAATATTCGGTTTACCACGGATGGCCTGTTAGTTCCCCTGAATCTGGTGGGCGTAGTGACGTGGCCATAAAGCGGGAAGTCTGAAACCAAACCTTGCAAGTCTGTTTTGAATTTCTCTCCTGGTGTGGCCTGGGATTCTACAGCATGTAAGTTGAAGTCACCGGTGATTAGAATGTGACTGTACTTCCTGTTTATCACTTGCCTCAACGCAGCCATCAAGCTGCAGTCCATTTTAGGAGTAGACGATGGTGGGCGGTAAACAACAACCAATAGGGCAAGATCGTTCCCTCTCAGCCGGAAATTACACCAAATGGAGTCAGGTACGTCGGTTTCCGAATCGTTTATGAGTTCGCATTGCAGGTTGTTACGAAAGTAGAGGGTTACTTCACCACCTTTGCTGGCTCGATCCTTCCTGACAACCG